TGAGGTCGATTGATAACTCTGTGATCATATAACCGGCAACCTGCACTTTGCACAACCACATATTGTCGAGACAGGCGCGGTAAATCAACCAAGAGTCACTTACCCTGAGGCCCGCTCGATTCGCGTCAATCATCTAACCGGCCCAACCATGTCCCCTTTCGGTGCTATCGTACATCGGGCTCAGCTTGAGGTGGAGCCGCCTGGCACTGAATCGTCCTGAGAGTCAGCACTCGCTCGCTCGAGTCTCTGTTCCTCGTGCTGTATTTCGAGCACGGTCCCACCCCTCCCTTATTCAATTAGCATTGGCATGGTGATAGCGCTGACTTGCCATCGACATCAGCCAAGGTGTTATGCGGTCCGGAGCTGGGAAAGGCCGCGAAAAGCATGACATACTGTCGCCAGAATGCTGTCCTTGGGTATGCAGAGGCCACCTGTGAGGGGACATTCAAAAAGGTCTGCGTCCTCTAATTGAGGTCCATGTCTGGACAACAGCAGAGATCCCCGAATTTAGAGATCTCAGCCAGAAGAATCCAGTAAAATGGGCTCAGTTACTCCTCCAGCCGAGGCGGGCGACTTCGAAACTCGACTGTTCATAAACGGAAAGGTTCGTATCTCTCAAAGCTCGGACAGTTGGACTATCTGCCGATTCTCGTTCCAGCCTGACACTTTCCATCGCGTATAGTTCGTCGAGGCCAAAAGCACAAATAGAATTAGCATATACAGTGCCAACGACAATTCGCTCGTCAGCTCAGACGTCCATGTCGCCGGACAAGCAGATGTGGACGACGCCGTGGCTGCCGCAAGGGCTGCCTTCAGCTCCTGGGCGTCGACCCCGCCGATACAAAGATGTAAGCTCCTGCTACACCTGGCAGATTTGATCGAAGAAAACGCAGAGGAATTGGGCAGACTCGAGGCCCTGTGTTCCGGAAAGCCCATGTCCCAGACGCGGCAGTTTGAAGTGCCCCTGGCGGCAAATGTCTTCAGATGTAAGGTTCCCATGTTCCCCTCGACACATCCCATCGTTGCCCTGATGATGAATGAACGCTGCAGACTACGCGGGTTGGTGTGACAAGCTCGAGGGAGAGTCGTGGCCCGCAGACAATGGTTTCATGAAGGTCGTCCGACGAGAGCCGCTCGGGGTCTGCGCCGCCGTCAACGCTTTCAACGGTCCGCTGGTCATGATTGCTTTCAAGGGCGCGCCGTGCCTCGCGGCAGGAAACACCATGGTCATGAAATCCAGCGAGAAGACGCCCTTGAGTACCATTTTCTTCGGAAAGCTGCTCCAGCAGGCCCAAATCCCACCTGGCGTGTTCAACCTACTCTCCGGAGCGGGGGAGACAGGGGCGCTGCTCGCGTCGCACACGGACGTAGACAAGATCTCTTTCACGGGGAGTGTCAACACGGGCAAGAAGATCGCCGTTGCCGCAGCTTCCAGCAACCTCAAGCGAGTCACACTGGAGCTAGGTGGGAAAAGCCCCAGCATTGTGTTTCCTGACGCAAATCTCGACGTTGCAACACAGTGGTGCGTGCAAGGCATCGTCGGCAACTCCGGCCAGGCTTGCATCGCCAGTTCACGCGTCTATGTGCACAAGGACATCAAGGAGACCTTTGTACAATGCCTCAAAACCGCTTTTGAACAAACTCATGCTGCCTTTGGAAAAGATCCACACTCGGACTCGACACATATCGGGCCGTTGGTCGACAAGTCGCAGTTTGAGAAGGTGGCCCAATATGTTGAAGCTGGCAAGGCAGAAGCCACTCTGATCACTGGGGGCGAAGCCCTGTATGATCAAGTAAGTTCCTCTCGAAAGAGGAGCAAATAGTTTGAGAAGACTTTGGTCTCCAGGATATGTCACTGACAGACTCCCCCAAGGGCTGCTGGATGACTCCGACGATTTTCCTGGACCCTGGGCCGGATGCCAAAATCTACAGAGAAGAAATCTTTGGCCCCGTTGTGGTCGTGAGCGACTTCAGCAGCGAAGAAGACGTCGTCAATCGTGCAAATGCTACGACTTTCGGACTTTCAGGAGCAGTCTTCACGCAGGACGTCAACCGAGCGATGAGGGTGGCGTCTCAGATCACCAGCGGCACAGTTTGTGTGAACTGCTGCACCATGGTTGACTATACAGTGCCATTTGGAGGGCTCAAGCAAAGTGGCTGGGGCCGAGAGCTCGGAAAGGTGTGTCGATGTATTCCCATGTTTGATCCTCGGAGGACTTGGAGATTCTTCGTTGCAGGATGACGAACTGCTGGGATCCTCTGCTGACACGATCTGACCATTTCTAGGCTGGGATCCAGGCATACACAGAGCTCAAGACAATCTTCATCAAGTATGACTTGCTAAATCTGGTTCTTGGTAATGCATTGCTGACAATATAAATTAGCTTAACATACTAGGCCTCACTATCTCCCCAACTTTCGGAATCACAAGTCTGGAAGAATGGAAAATGTAGTTTCTGGGAGGGAGAAATTTGCGTTACGCCGGTAGAGCTATGGGTAAGCTCGCCATGTGGTTGTGCCCTAGGTACTCTTAGTTGTCGAGATAAGACAGATCCGTTGTGTGCAAGATAGATCAAACCGTGTACGTGACCGAGTCAACAGAAAGACCGTCCAGAAGATTCGGATACGCGTTAATAAACTCTGGCGTCAAGCCCCATCCCTCGACACGGCTGAAGACCTTGTAAAATTCGTCGCGCATCTTCAATCCGTCGTTCTCGCTCGACTCTAAGATCTCCTGACCCCATGGCCAGCGCACTTTGAGGCAGCAGGACATCATGTCGAAGATGTTGGGGAGTTGGGCCATGTCGGCCATCCTGATGAGATTGAGCCGGAGCGCGGGCCACAGGATCATGTCGAGGTTGACCGAGTGCGCTTGTTGTATCTGTTCCGGAATTGGCCACAAGAACGGAGAGATTCGCGCGAAGCTCTCCGGGGTTGGGTGGACCCTCCATTTACTGAGGACGTAGAGCAGCCAGCCGATCGCCAGACGCTCCGGTTCGGCCACGCGTGATTTCCGCAGCGCCGTATGAATCGAGTTGGCAAGGAAGTTCTGGCGCGATCCAAACAGGAGGTCCAGTGGCTCCGGCTCGTCCGGGGAGGTGGCCACCGCGCTGGGGGAACTGAACCAGGGAGACGAGACTTTACTCAGCGGGTCTTCTAATGTGTTGTTCGGGGTCAGCGACCATCTGGGGAGAGATGGTGTTCGAGGATTGGCAAATGACGGACTCGAGTCAGACTGATTGCACGCCCGACTCCGTGAATGGTTTGGATGAGGCAGCCTCATACTGCTTCGCGGCATCTGCTGCGACGGCTTTAAATGCGACAGTAGCGTTCCTGCTGCAGACTCGTCGCCATCCTGTGGCGAATTGTCGAATTCTGTCAGAAACGGGTCGGGTGGATGATCAGATGTAGAAACCCAATATCGACCAGAGTCGAGATTACCGGTCAAAGTGCACAGAGCATCTGATGAGCTCTGGAGTATTCTTGTTGAATCTGGACTTCTGGGGAAGGGAACTTCCCCTGGTAGAGGCTGGCGGTCAGGTCCCTGCTGTGGTTCATCCGCGCTTCTCATGGTCCCTGTGGCTGCCATATCTGATGTGCACAGTATGCCCGACATCTGCGGGCATCCGGGTTCGGTGGACTTGGTACCAGCGTGTGATGACGGAGCCATCTGATCCTCGTAGCTGAGAGTCGTATCGACCACGCTGGCTGGGGGGCTTTGGTGCATTGAGGCTACCATGTGGTTGGCTGTCCTTTGCAGCGAACCGGCCAAACCCATCATCGTCTCTTGTTGTCTTTGTAGAAAGCGATTCTCCAGCTCGAGGGTATGGATCTTTTCGACCAGGACACTGACGGCGATTGAGCCATGGTTCTGCTTACAATAGGAGACTTGGTCTTCCAGTAGTTTCATTTGACTGTCTCTTTTCTCGCGGAGTTTCTGCTGTGCGCGGCGATCACGGAGCCGTTTCCTTTCCGCAGAGGTCATGGTGTTGTCGTGCATTGTAGTTGTATGGTATGGATAGCTCATGTTTGGTGTTCGAGTTGTACGGGACGCCACAAACAGTATGTTCTTGGGTTCGAAGTGCCCATCCGTCTCTTTGATGTTCTGGATACAATGTGGGAAATGCACGAGAGCTCAAGGCCCCGGTCGGATAAGAACTCGGCGCCCATAACAAGATGCGTTAGCGGCGCTCTCGGCTACAACTCTGCGGGGAGTTGGTGCTTGACCCTGTACCCGACTTGTGGAGGCGGGGGACTGTGGAGGCTATTGTGAAGGGCAAGGTGTCAATCCCTGGCTGGGTGTGTCTGATCTCTTTACCCAGGGATGCATAAAACTGCATAACTCGTGGAGACAGAACCGAAGCGGTTGTGGCGGAGGTTGATATGCAATTCCCTGTCACCGCCGTTAGCAATGATTCACGCCGTGATAGGCTAGGGTCTAGGGTAAAGACAACAAACACTGACTCACTGGGAGAAAGCAGCAGTGAACAAATAGAAATCCGTGGTAATGCTCTTAGCGACAAGGGCAGCTGGAAGCGAAGTGAAGTGAAGTGGAGCTCGGCAGCCACTGAGAAACTTGTGCCTGATCCAAGGCGAGTCAGCGCTGAATCAATCCTCTCACATTCCAAGTCTTCACTCACACCTGGGCATCAGCCTTGGTGCGGTCCATTTGTTTAATCTGTCGGAGGTGGAGATGAGACCTACTGGCAAGAGCCCCAAGGCTCGAAGGTCGACACACGAATCAATATACCTAGGCCAACCTGAGAATGGCCTGTAATCAACACTCGAGACTGCGGCACTTGACATGGGACGAATATCGAGAGGTCCACAAGTATACATCCAAATTGAGGACCAGTGGCGTGCTCTACTTACAAAGGTTTGAAATCTTAGGTTGATATCTTTCGTTCAACAAGGCCCTTCATTCCCTCTTACACACATCTTTCTCAGTCGATTCTAATCAGTCAGAGACATCTCACATCTGCCGCCCTCTGCTGCCCAGAATGTCGCCCATTGCCACTGCAGACCTCGAGGCACCGCCCACCAACGGCCATATTCCCACCGACTCGGAGACCAGATGTCGCCGAGCACCAATTCATGCCAACAGACACATGCGGGTGGTCTGCATCGGGGCGGGCGCCTCGGGAATCTACATGGCCTACAAGCTGAACCACTCATTTACCGACTTCTCCCTCGACGTCTACGAGAAAAACTCCGACATCTCGGGCACATGGTACGAGAACCGCTACCCCGGATGTGCCTGCGACGTCCCCGCTCATAACTACACCTATTCCTTCGAGCCAAAGTCGGACTGGTCGGCGAACTATGCCACTTCCAAAGAGATCTTTAAGTACTTTGCGGATTTTGTCGACAAGTACGACCTGCGGAAATACATCACCTGCAACCATGAAGTCGTCGGGGCGCACTGGGATCGGGACAACAATGAATGGGTGGTCCGAGTCCGACGACCAAGCAAGAATGTTTTCGAACAGCGGTGTGACTTTCTGATCAACGCTGCTGGCATTCTGAACCATTGGCGATGGCCAGCAATCCCAGGTCTTCACTCTTTCCAGGGTGACCTCGTGCATAGCGCTGCTTGGGATGAGAAGCTGGACGTGGCTGGAAAGCATGTTGGCCTGATTGGGAACGGGTATGTCCACCTACGGTCCTCTATGGCTGAGATCCTGGTTGGTATCTGACAAATGTACAGCTCCTCGGGCATACAGATTCTACCCAAGATGCAAGAGTAGGTATTTCTGAATTTGATTTTTCTATTGAAGCTATGCCTGAATCCACAATGACACCCTGCACAGGCAAGCCCGTCATGTAACCACGTTTATCAGGGAGCCTACCTGGGTAAGCCCCGTTAGAGGTATGGAGTATCATGAATACAGCGACGAAGAGAAAGAAATGTTTCGCCTCAAGCCCGAGCTCTGGCTGGAAATGCGGAAAAAGGCCGAAAAAGCAATGGCTTTGGTCTTCCCATTGATGCTCAAAGGATCTGCCAGTCAGGAAGCAGCAGCAGCGTACATGAAGAGCCAGATGGTACAGAAAATCAACAACGACGAGCTGGCACAGAAACTCATCCCAGATTTCGCTGTGGGCTGTCGACGGCTGACGGTAAGTCGATTGCCCCGACGCTGCCATCTTCCATTGAGTAAACAATGATCCTGACATTCGGAACAAAACCATGTAGCCAGGGATCAACTACCTGGAGAACCTGACAGCGAAGAATGTCACCGCTCTGTATGGAGAAATTACGGCCATCACTCCCACCGGCTGTGTGACCGAAGACGGCAAGGAGCACGAACTGGACGTTCTGATCTGCGCCACCGGGTTCGACACCACTTTCAAACCACGGTTCCCCTTGATCGGACGAACCGGCAAAGATCTGGCAAAAGAATGGGAAATCGAACCGCGCAGCTATCTCGGGATGGCGGCCGCCGGGTACCCGAACTACTTCATGTACCTGGGTCCAAACTGTCCCATTGGCAACGGGCCCATCATCTTCTCGATCGAGATCCAGGGTGAATACATTGCCCACTTCATGAACCGGTGGCAGAAGGAGGACATCCTGACGTTTGACCCCAAGCCCGAAGCGGTGGATGATTTCATCCACCAAAAGGACCTGTTCATGCAGGAGACGGTGTGGAACAGCAACTGTCTCTCATGGTACAAAAACCCACACACGGGCAAGATCACGGCCCTCTGGCCCGGAAGCACGCTGCACTATATGGAGACCCTGGCCAACCCGCGATACGATGACTACAACGTCGAATACCGTGGTCGGCGATTCGCGTATCTGGGCATGGGTTTCTCCCAGGCGGAGCTGGACCCAGACGTCGATGTGACGTACTATATCCGCAACAAAGACGACGACGCTCCCTTGTGCCGACCGCTGTTCAGCACACGGAACGCCAAGGACATCACTCCTCGAATGACCACATTGGCCGAGGCTGGGCTGTAAAAATACGAAAAGAAGGTTGTGGACAGTGGACAAACCGGAGTTGGGGGGGTTGGGCCTCTTTGTTGGGCGCAAACAAATCTATCATTCGTTCTGCTCTGCGCTACATGGAATATACGTATAGGTGAATGAAAAACCCTGCTTCTACTTGTTCGAATCGGAATACATGCTCTGTGAAATGTGCTCGCCGTCCACTATTTAATATCTGTAACCATGTTGCTGCGATGTTCAGAAGAGTTGCCCACACCATCACCACCATTGATTCTCGCTCTCAGAGGGTGATCGGGAAATCTTCCGAGCCTTTTCCTTGATATGCTGAGTAGACTTTGCAACGCTGAATCATCGTCTAGTCTATTCTAGCAGGACGAGTCAGTCTGGGGCACAGATCCGAGTACTTGTGCATGCATACCTGGGGTTCGTATTCGGCCACTGGGTATCCCACCTCCTCCTTCCCCTCGTCGTGCTCGCAAAGAAACATTACTCTGCATATTTTAAATATGCGAACCGCTAGATCCATACATTCTCTGAACCCTACACTGCGACAGACGACGCCAGCTAGCTTAGTATGTACTGTGTGCTGTATGCTATGGATGTCTGTATCGGTCCTCGCCATGGTCCATCCATCCCGCTCTACCCACAAGTATAAGCCTTTCTGAGCGGACCGGGGATGATCAGTGACTATAACATCCCTATTTAGATCGCCCCCTCCTTTACCCCTTCTCCATTTCTCAGATATCAACCCCGGCTAGAGTCTGGGGAAACCTCCAATCTGCGTGCATTGTATACTCACGACATGATGGCCAACACCGAATACTCTGTCCCAACAGAGGCCGAAAAGGTCTTTCGCACCGGCATCCTCCAGAACCCCCTGATCACGCCGTATCTGCCTGAAGGATGGGAGGCGTTGGCCAGCACCGTCAGCTTCGAAGGCAGCCCTAGCCCCAGCATCCCCATCAACTGGCGCTTCGCTGAGAGTATTTCAGCCCTCAAGGCCTACGAGGCCGTGCTGGTCAATGCCATTTTGAAGAAGAAATATAACCACGACCCCGTCGAGGTTAGGATCAACACGTACGTAAAGTGAAAGCTTTTCGCTCGTCTCGCTTCTCTCGCTCCTCGCCTCCCTGATTGATTTTTCAAGAGAGGTGCCTTCTTTTGCTCGTTCACCAACTCACCTCTCCTCGCGTGATGGTCAGAGACCATGCCCAGTTGTTCTTCATGTCCACTTTACTCTGGCGCCTCGATCCCCAGGGAGCCGATCTCAACGCCTTGTCCATTCTCCAGCCCGAGTTGCGGCAGAAGATGGACGCTTACTTCCCCGACTGGGATAAACACGGCTCGCTAGCTTCGCTGCATCGGATGGCAGCGACCAACATCTACAGGACCAAGGATGATCGGTTTTTTCATATTCATGGTAAATCTCGTTGCTTTTCGGATCGAAGGAGAGGCTAAGAAAAGCGAAACCACAGGGTCCATTGATCCACGCCCGACAATCGAGTCACTCGGCCTGCCGCAGGAGAGCTCAGCCTCGTCGTTGCAAGAAGCTTTCAAGCCCTACGTGGAGGCGGTGTCGAGATTCACGGCTGAGGAGCTGCAGGATCTCGAGACTAACCGGTTCCGCCAGGCAGGCACCATCTGCTACTCCATCGACGAGTATAACAACAGCGAGCACGGCAAGGCGAACGCCCACATCGGCCTGTTTGAGATCCACCACCGACCCAACCCTGTCCAGCAGGCGACGTGGTGGCCCGACGCCCCCAGCAGCCCGGGCTCACCGAAGAGGCCTCTCGCTGGTCTGAAGGTGGTTGACCTCACGCGGGTCATTGCTTCTCCGGCAGTGTCGCGCGGTCTCGCCGAGCTAGGTGCCTCGGTCATGCGCATCGTGTCCCCAAACATCACCGACACGTCGGGCCTGCATCTGGACTTGAACCACGGGAAATGGAATGCCTGTCTCGACCTCAAGGTGGAGGCGGATCGAGAGAAGCTCCGCGAGCTGATCCGTGGCGCCGACGTCTTTCTGCAGGGCTACCGTCCTCACGTGCTCGATAAGTACGGCTTCGGAGAGCAGGATATTCTGGACTTGGTCAAGGACCGGGATCGTGGTATCGTCTATGCACGTGAGAACTGTTACGGCTGGAACGGGCCCTGGAAGGATCGTAGTGGCTGGCAACAGATTAGCGACGCGGTAAGTCAAAGTTCCTCCTAGCCCCCTCAATTAGCTCACTCGTTCCTGCTCGCGAATTCTCCAGACCAAGAGACTCATTATTCTGGGGCGTTTCCTTTTGCTGAGGATGAACAGAACTGCGGAGTGTCGCTTGAATTCGGCAGGGCCATGGGCAACGATGAACCCGTTACTCCTGTCTTTCCCAATTCAGATTACTGGTGAGTCAATTGTTCCAGGGGGCCAGGTGTCGTACCTTTGTCTCGGTGGAACTGACACTGATGATTGTCAAAAGTACCGGCATAGCAGGGACGATAGGCATCCTCACCGCGCTCGTGCAGCGTGCTGAGAAAGGGGGATCGTACACAGTCGACGTACGCAGTTTCTTTGTCCCCCCCTTTTCTCCATCTTTCTCTCTTTTCTGGGGTACAATGCTAACACTTCGCCCTGCTACCCCAGATCGCCCTGAACTACTACTCCCGCTGGCTCACCTCCAGCGTAGGGGCCTACCCATCCGCAGTCTGGGACCGCCTCTGGACCCGCCACGGCCGCCCCGTGTTCCGGCACACCGACTCGATGATGGTCCTCCTCCCAGCGTTCATGAAGATGCTGAGGGCCGACCCCGACAGTGCCGCCGCGCTCTTCCAGCCCGGCTTCTTCACAGAGTACGCCATCAAACATCTGGGCGGTGTCACGGTCCGGATCGTCGCGCCTGTTCTGCGGTTTCCCGGCGGCGAGGTCGAGCCGGGGTATAATGTGTCAACCAGGACGAATGGCGTCGATCAACCGCGTTGGCCGGATGATCTTAGCGTGGAAGTCGTTGTTTAAGTGAGAAATTCGTGGCATTTCTTGGTCTTCGAAACAGGCTGAGGTTGAGTGTTTGGTCTGTTAGAACCGTGAACCGTGGGGAAAAAAATCACAACCCTTCAGACTGTGAAATTATGGGGTTTCCTTTTCCCCTAGAGGTCACAGTTGGGAAGGCCCTCTGAAGGACTTGCGCATCTACCAAAACATGCCCCTTTTCTGGATAGATGCTCTTCCAGGAAATAGACTGGGCATGGACATCTGTAAAAGCCACTTTGGGTTTATGAGTCCCGATTGGGACAAGTGCTCCCCTGTATTACAGTACATGTGATGAGAAAAGCTGCCAAGCCGTCACGTGTTACCCCACATCAAACCCCAGTTCTGGCCAGCGCCAGTCCACTTCAAGCTTTGACTCGAATCACCAGTTCACGCCGGCACCCTTGAGCTCTTCCAATCCTTCCCACAAACGTCGGAATGCTGCTGCGTTGTCTGTAAAGATACGACCATGGATAGCGGTGATCTAGACGGAGACGGTCCCCTGGTGAAAAAGCCGCGACTATTCATCGCCCGACAGGTACAAAACGCGTCCCTTATTGCGAGCGGTTGCTGACGACCTAGGCATGCGAACACTGCCGTCAGAAGAAGATGCGTTGTGATGAGGGACAGCCATGTGGTCCATGCAGAACCGTTGGTCTCGAATGCAGCTACGGCGAGCGCAAAGCAACAAAGTAGGTGACTTCTTCCGCTCGTGGCTTCACTGACTGGTATAGGAATGAGGTCTCTTTGAGCATGATCCTGCACAAGCTGGAACGAATGGATGCCAAGATAGACTCTCTGTCCGTCCCGCCAGCGCCAGCGCCAACACCTACTACACAGCCCAGTCTGCCCGCGGAGTCTCCAGCAGGTTCCATCCTGTCGAAAAGTACACCAATCTTATTCAGTGCTCGGTGCATGTTGTCGTGGCCAGCCGTTCGAGATCTTCTCCCCCCTTCTCTGAGAGCAGTTCCGGATGACTACGCTCTAAAGCTGGAAGATCAGCGTCCCAAGCTACCGAGACCTGCACGAAGTCAGGACATTGATATTCTGGCGGACTTCAGCATTTCGACCGTTCGAGAGTTAAGCAATGCCTACTTTACAACCTTCAATCTTGCCCATCCGGTGCTTGATCGCAAGCAGTACTTTCAGCAAACCCTGGGAAATGCAATCAATGGTGGCTTCGGCTACGACGCCGACAGCTGCATTGTTCTCATGACCATGGCACTCGGGACATTTGGGACACGCGCCATAAATGAGTGCCAGCAGCAACGTCATGAAACTCGAGCACGCCATTCTCCCGTCCGGCCTCCAACCGAACCATTGGGACTAGCCTTTTACAACGAAGCACGGAAGCGTAACGGGTTCCTTGAAGGAGACCACACGATCCAGACCTGTCAGTTCTATCTGCTGGCCATGCTCTACCATGCTCAGCTTATACGCCCGGTCGATTGTTGGTCAATGTCGATGAGGGCCGCGGTGATTTGCTTGAAGCTGTGGTACCGACCGCCTGAGGCAGACGAATGGACTCTGGACATGTATTCACGGCTTTACTGGATCACAGTCATGTTCCAAACCGTGCTGACGCAGGAGCTGACCGGGTTGGCAATGTCGCAGATTAGAGATTTGGAGGACTCGGTGCCACTGCCAAAGTTTGTATCGTTCCCCTCAGGTTACCCTCCCGGCCAAGGGGAAGAGGATGAATCCTTCTACCACTACCATTTCCTCGCTCAGATCGCGCACCGCATCTTTCTCAGCCGAGTTTATACCAGCTTATATTACTTTGGTGAGTCCAGAACACGTCTCCTCGCGATCTTTCTGACAAAACCCCAGTACCATCCGCCCACTCTCCCAACGCGGCAGTGGCTCAAGAACTGTACCACCAGCTAGACCAATGGCGATCACAGCTTCCAGCACAACTTCGCTTTGACGACGAGACTCCCATCACTGGGCCAGATCCGCTGAGTGAAGTCTTGGTGGTGTCATTACTCCGGTCTCGATACTTTGTGGCACATTACCATCTCGGAAGACCGTTTCTGTAAGGCTGACGCGGACTTCGCTTGAACTTCTTTGCTAATACCAATATCCGCAGATACAAGGCTCTCCACCACCCGACAGCATTAACGGAATATGACCAGCAAAGATGCAAACAGGCATTACGGGCGATCCTGAAATATTCCGAGGTCACTGAGAGTCTTCTCGGCGTCAAAGGTTGTATGCCACTGGCATTCTCCTGGTGTGGCCAGTAAGGATTTCCCCCAACAGATTTCTGCCAGCGACTGACTTCAAGTCAGAGCATTAGGGCAGCTTCTGCTGATGTACGCGTTTCGTCACACCCCAGCCTTGCAGGATTTTCTGCCTGAAGGCTGGGAACGGTGGTCAGAACGTATCCTCCAAGCATTGCAGGAATTGTCCAGCTTGAGCCCAGCGGTGGCGAAGGATGCAGAGATCGCAAGTATACTGTACTCGACAGCTCCGGGTTGAGAGACATAGTACAGAGCCGCGCCAGTATTCAGTCCGGAGTCAGACCTCCAGGTGCCGGGGTCGCCAGATTATTTCTGCTATGAGGTCCTGAGGGAAGCATACATGGCCAGGAATGTATAAAATTCTTACACAGAAGCCTGTTCCGGAGCGTACGGAGCAAGGATGGCGTGATGTATACGAGCTCCATGTCCAAGGTATGTTTCACACGTTCTCAAAGCCCGAGTTCTGGCCATGATTTACATTATTGTTACCCTAGGGACAAAAGACCATTTCAACGAACGCGCTCGGAAGAACAAGTTGAAAAAGTTCGTCAAGGAAGCCGAACAAGGCGTGGCCTGCCAACAACTATTTCACATTGGCCCCGCCATAAGCAGCACCTTTGACAGCCTGTACGGTCGTTTGCCCCTTGGCCTTGGATAAAGATTCAGTCATGATGGTTGGTAAGGCCGTTGCATCAGTGGCCGCCGAAATCATATGGAATCCTTGATCCGCATACTGCCGAGCAGGCTCGCCTGAAGGACAGTAGATGCCAGCCTTCTTGCCGGCGTCCTTTGCCGCCTTTAAGATTCGAGCAACGGCTTCTGTCATCTCTGGTGGGAAGCCACCTTGGAGGGAATACCCCAGGTTGTTACTGAGGTCGAAAAGGCCGATGAACAATACTACAGATGACAAAGTCAGCGGACGAAGCTTGGGGGCGTTCTGACCTTCCAGCACAAACTCACCATCTACGCCGTCAACTCGCGCAATTTCCTCGACGCACTCGAATGCTTCCTTGGTCTCGATCTGGGCGATGGTCAAGAGATTATCATTGGCGGTATTCATGTATTCAAAGGCACTCAGGTTGCCCTGGTTGTCGAAGGCGCCCATGGAGAAGGGACTGCCGAAGCCTCGCTTGCCTCGTGGAGGGAACTTGGCAGACTCGACCAGTCTCTTTGCGTCTTGGACGGTGTACAGCAGCGGCACGATGATCCCGTGGGCGCCCGCGTCGAGTGCTCTCTTGACCATCCAGCCTTCGTTGGCAGGAATGCGGACAATGGGTGAGACTCCGACCGACGCGACGGCGTGCACGCTGTCGTGCATTTCATTGTCTGGCGCGCGAGAAGTCAGCGACACTCTCGCTCTCTGAGGATTTGGGATTTGGGATTTTCCACCCACCTGTGATGTTTCCGTGTTCGCAGTCGATACAGATCCAGTCGAACCCGCATCTCGCCATTGCTCTGGACAAATGCGATCCGGGCAGCATCTGCCACGCGCCAAAGGAGAGGCCACTTCCAGTGAAGAGCGCTTTTCGCAAAGTGTTGGAGGTTTCCATAATGCTCGCCATGGTGGTCTGCCCTATGCCTACCCTTTCTTAGTCGGATTGGTGGTTCTCGGGTTGGATTCGCCAGGTGATAAGAGGGAGTGGTCTTCTTGCTCAAGAAATTGCTTGGCTGTCCAAGTCCTGCTGTGACAATTGATGACACGGGGATCGTGGACAAACAGTACAATACAATGCCAACGCGGAGGCGCCGTCATCCAAGACTTCCACGATCACGACGTCAACCACGACCACATCCACGCCCACTAATGGGGCCAACCAGAGCGATAGACCTTCCCCGTTCGGTAGCGTTACCGCCGCCGGCAAAACATGGGGAGGCAATGAAAAATTTGTGGGTAGGTGTTTCTGACTATGTGATTGCATTGTCAGGAATTGCTAGTGCATCGATCAGCGCGGACGGCGAACCGTCGTGGAAATCGCACTGAGCACTCAGATACTCCATACAACAGGACAACCCATCACAACGGGTCGTTCAGTGAATGGTTCTGTCTCGGCTACCCATGGCATCGTCAAACCGCGGAGTACAAATCTTTCTCTCCGGTCAAACCCTAGCCCGTCACTTACGCCGGCCCTCCAACGCCGGGGAGACTTCGAAAATGCTCCGGAGAGACGAGTCATGCGTCATGACGGCAGAGATACCGAGTTACAAGTAGTTGAGCCAGGGGCCCCCCTTTCTCCGAACTCCGCGGGTCCCCCCTTTCATTTTGTCATGGGACACCCAACGATCTGTGGATCTTTCAGTTATTCCGGCAGGTCAGCTAGACTCCCCGAGCATGATCTTGTACTTGGTACGTCTGCAGAGTGTTTTAACAGCTAAGTCCCGCCACCGTCCCCTAAACAAGTCTTGGTCTTGGTCGATGGTGAGATCCAGTTTTTGCTACTCAACGAAGCCTGATTATCACTGAAACAGTATTGGAGGTGGTCTTGTTGGGTATGAAGGAAGCTGTGGTAGCTTTGGAGTGGCCCCATTTGGACCATAGGAGACGACCATGCCACGACTCATTGCCGACCGGACCACAGCAAGGAAAACTTTCTCTGCCGATTGAGAACGTGGTGGCAAGTTAGGTGCACGCCGAGTCTCTCACAAGTTCGGCACACGTGAAGCTGGACAAGGGTGCCTACAATGGACGAGGTTGTTTGAAACATGATGTGTTTTTTACATATGCTGTATAGGACCAAGTTCAACCCTCTTCGGTAGAGGGTATCCTCCAATTGCCTCGAAGAACTTTGCGCCACTTGACAAGACCCCGGCCAGATCTTCGCCTATCCAGTCCTTTGCGAAAGCCGCTCGAGTCTGTTCCATTTCGCGCCTGTACTTCCCTGCGACCTAGTGAGGATACGAAATATCAGCATTGGCCGGAACCGGAACTGTCTCATCACAATCAATAGACAAGAGAAGAACTTTACCAGCACGCACGCGCCCTTCAGCCTCGCGTCAACCGCCGTCTGAGCAATCACACCGGCAACGTCTTGCACCGTGTTCGACTCCAGACCGGTCTCCTTCCACCTCTGCGAGTACTCGGCCGTGATGGCCGTCGGGGTAAACGCCGGGGCCACCCCGTTGACACGGATGTTGCCTCGCTTTTTGGCTTCGACTTGAGCCGCGCGCAGGAGGCCGACCACGCCGTGCTTGGACGCAATGTATGCCGCCACGCCGGTGCTGCCAAAGTAGCCGGATGTCGAGGCTATCAGGATGATCGAGCCCGGGTTGGCCGCGGTGGCGGTTTTGTTCATGTAGTGCATTGCCAGTTTTAGAGCTGTGTTTGTCGTTTGGGTCAATCAATTTCATGCTGATGCACCATCACCCCCGAGACACGACTTACTGTTCAGAGTGCCCTTCAAGTTGACGTCAATGACCTTGTATGCTTCCCGGGGCTCCTTGGGCGAGCCGTCTGCCTCGGTGTCGTCCAGATCGAGGACCATGGCGGACTCCATGGTGCCGGCGTTGGCGACGACGACGTCGACCCTGCCGAACCTCTCAACCGTCTTCTCAAACACTGCTCTCATCTGCTGCCAGTCGAGAATGTCAGCCGGCACGAAGAGTGCCTTCTCCGGGTGCGGCAAGGCGGCCGCGACAGCTTTCGCTGCGTACCGGGTGTGCTCGAGGTCTGCTATGACCACATTGGCACCGTTGCCGTTGCACAGTTTGATGGTCGCGGCGCCGATGCCCGCCGCGCCTCCGGTGACAATGACCGTCCTCCCTCCCAAACTGGCTAGGAGGCCCGGGTCATGGTCAATTTGTCGATATCTGGAGGGCATCGTTCGAGCCGCGCGAAGAAGCCTGTTTGTCGTATACCAAAATGCTGTCGGTGGGGGAGCAGTCGTGCGACGTTTGAATATGTGGCTTACTCTTGTCTGGACGGCAGAGAGAGTCGCATGGTGAAAGAGAGTACCTCATAGATCATAGGCGTCTGTGCGACTGCTGAGCCGGGCTTACCGTGGCATAACTACGTGTTGCAAGCTTTACGGAGATGGCAAACACATGGCTGCTCACTGGACTTACTCGAGTTTGTAGGAGGGAAGCCAAAAGAACTTTTCCTTCTCCACGTTCAATCGCCGGCAGTCTACTAGATCCCCCGGGGGGCAAAAGGACAACGGTTTACATCTGGTAAGGATATGAGTGTTGGATTGCCGAGGTATAGTTATAGACTTTACAGTGACCCGCACCAGCCTATTGAAGATAGAGCTGGCCGCTAATCCTGATTAGGTAGTCACGCTAAAGCTAAAAGGGCCTTCTCCATACCTCTCTTCCGGCGGTCTGCTAGATCCCCCGCCAAGCAGCACTAGACAGTATACAAGAATCCCAATGTGGGAACTACGGGTCTTAACCGCCTCAATCACGACTCGCGATGTTCTCCGTCCGCCACAAGGTCGTTGAAAAAGGCATCAAAAAGAACCCCCCTGGAGGCTTCTCTTCCAGTCAACGGCGATGTAAAATGAGCTTGTTACGGCAACCCTGGCCTGGCATGCCGTTGATAATGTGGAGTGACCAGACAGACGTCGACTCCGCGTCTGTGGCAATCTTGGACTTCGTCCCCCCCAGGTCTGGGCAAGGCTGGCGCTCCCCGCCCGGCCTCCACACACGAGATGCACTTTCTCCAAGTGCAGGGTTTGGACGATATATCATGAGTTCTGTTTCCGTCTTTTGCTCGTGGCTCTCAATCTTCTGCGACCTGAGCAGGGGACCTTCTTCCACGCTCGCATCGTTTTACAGTCTCTATCCTGGCTGCTGCTATCCTTTTTTTTGAGCCCTAACACCCATCAGCATGGCAGACATCAAAGAGGTCTCGGCGAGTGAAGTGGAAGCTCCCAAGACGGCAGAAGTGTCGGCACCCGACCAACTCGCAGACTTTGATGCCAAATATGCAGCAAAATTGCGCCATCGCATCGACTGGCGTCTGCTCACGGCCCTGGGCCCCATGTACGCCATCTGCCTGCTCGACCGGTCCAACCTCGCGTCGGCCGCCATCGCCGGCATGACCGAGGACCTCGACATGGTCACGGGCAACGGCTACAACCTCACCAACATGTGTTTCTTCATCACGTACATCCTCTTCCAGCCGCTGATGGTCGTCGTGTGCCGCAAGATGGGCCCGCGATGGTTTTTGCCCCTGATCTGTTTCCTGTGGGGTTGCTTGTTGATCGGCATCGGCTTCGTGCACGATTGGCAGACCATGTTGGGATTGAGGCTGATCTTCGGCGTGCTGGAGAGCGGCTACTTTCCCGGTTGCTTGTACCTCCTCAGCACCTGGTATACTCGATGTGAGCCCTTTCCCCCGCCCCCCAAAAAAGCGTGGCCAGTGCTGACACGTCACGTCACGTCACGTTACAGTTGAGAGTGCCAGGAGATATTCCATCTTCTATCTGATCGGGAGCTGCGCTTCAGGATGCTCTGGGATCCTGGCCTACGGCCTTATGCAAGCGGACGGCGCAGGTGGGCTTCGGGGCTGGCGGTGGTAAGAATCCCCCCTCTCCATGCAAAAATGCTACATTGTATAGCAAGGATGAAAAAAAAAAAGTGACCGAGGCTAACAATCGTGTCTCTCTTTTCTTAGGATCTTCATCCTCGAAGGACTCATCACCATCACCCTCGCCATGATCGCCGTGGTGATGATGGTCAAGTTCCCCGACGAAGAAATGACCAAACCCTCCCCAAAGTTCCTGACCAGGGAGGAACTGAATTTCGTCACGGCGCGCCTCGACGCCGACCGCGCCGACGTCTCGCTCGAACCATTCACGCTCAAGCGCTTCCTCGAGCCCGCCACGGAATGGTACATCTACGGCTTCCCCCTCCTGCTGATGCTGGTCACGACCCTGGCGTACGCGTTCGCCTTCACCCTGCCGACGGTGCTCCGGTCGACGCTCGGCTTCGGCCTGGCGGAATCGCAGTGCCTGACCGCGCCGCCGTACTTCTTCGCCGCCGTCTTCATGTACATCGCCGGATGGTACAGCGACAGGTACCACACGCGCGGACCCGTCCTGGTCACCCTGGCTCTGGTCAGTCTCGCCGGGTTGCCCATCATGGGCTGGGCCAAGAACCCCTGGGTCCGGTATTTCGGCGTCTTCGTCACCGTCGCCGGCGCCAACAGCGCCATCCCCAGTATCATGGCATACCAGGTAAAAGATTTCCCCAACATCATTACCCCACATACCTCGTACCTACCCTAGCCCCTACCCTAGGATCAACATCTACTCACACTCTTGGCCCATTCATTAGGGAACGAATATCCGCGGCCAATGGCGCCGGGCCTTCTGCTCCGCGGCACTGACCGCCATCGGCGGCATCGGCGGCATCATCGGTTCCCTGATCTTCAGATCTCAAGACGCGCCAAACTACTACCCCGGCTTCATCGCCTGTATTGTGTAAGTCCTTCCCCGTCCCGTCCATCTGAAACCCCTTCTGGGGACATTTCTTTTGGGGTCATGGCTAATACCCACGTGTGTGTGTGGATAATAGGGCGTGTATACTAGTCATCGTCATCGTCGCGATCATGTCCGTCTACTTCCACCGGTGCAACAAGGCCGCAGACCGGGGCGAGAGGATTCTGCTGGGCGATCCGAACTTTAGGTTCACCCTGTGATGGGGGGGGAAAAAAGGTCTATCAGGTAAACCGTGTTTCTGGAGGAAAACTCTTTGGGGTTTTCCCAGTAAATTGATGGATGGATGGGTCATGCTTTTGCTTTCGAGGCATAACAGCAAAAACATGAATATAGCATACTACCGAGTAGATAGACACATGTAGATGCGGGTCTGATCATACATATATGTATGCATACATACCAAGCACTTGCCCAAGTTCAAGACCCTTGGGTAGCCCAAGAACGAATCGATTGTCCGTTCGGCTCGGCTTAAACATGGCGACCGCAATATCGTATATGCTGTCCTAGGTCTCCTGATGCATGGCGGCTTTCTACCAAAACTCCCCGCGCGATGCCGTGACCTTCCACTTATCCGTCGTGCCAAACTCCAACCGCCCCTCGCGGAACCGCCACGTTCCTTGCGGCTTCGATTAGGGTCCTCGCTTGTACACGGAAGCGGCCGATAACACAGTGGTCAGTGGTCCCAAGGATCAAAAGGCAAGGGAACAGGGTAGATTCTCTCTCATCGGCCCCACGACTGTTGCGTTGCAGGTCAGGTCTCATGTTTCTGTTAGCGCTCGGCCGAGATGCAACCAGGCTTATACGGTAGACAATCTGAACCCGGTTCAGGAGACGCTGGCCATGGTCGCCGAAGTGGTTGCTTCAATGTGAAAAAAGCAGGTGAATATGTGGCCAGAAGCAGCGCTCAACAATTGCTCTTTTCAGCGGACCTGGTGCTTTTGCCGACACAGTTTCAATTACTCGGCGATATATGCGCTTGACGGCTTGAGTCTTGAGCGGGAGAATCATGCATCGCTATTGCCGTTATCATCGCATGATCACCTTGGTGGGTGCATCATCCGTCCTTGCACCGAACCGAGTAGAGCCTTTGGCACCCAGGACGTGAGAGACACGGGGTAATTTCTGACCCAGCCAGAGAGAGACAGGGGTGAGCTCAGAGCGGTGACTTGACCTCACTGGGAATCTGCATAGAGCAGTGTAAGTCTAACGTCAGATAACATAGAAGCATGGTATTCTGTGGCTCCCAGGACTACCTGGGAGTCGGTAGTAGATAGGAAGGAGTGTGTGTGCAAAGCTAGGCATGTATGGTAGTGAGTGCCAAGACGCTAATGGTCTGACAGCGACTGCGCCTTATCCCAATCTGGCAATTCACGTCGACGCGTCATTGACCGAGGGTAATCGCGGTGTTGGTAGTAGTGAACGAGGTACGAGGTATAGTTCGGGCTTTATATAACATATCTGTACATTATGTTGTAGTCAAACTACACTTTATCTCCATGGCTCTGCCGGTACAAGAAGAACACCGTCGACGGACGAGTCTATCTCTGGGGAGGATCGATGCTGCACCACCTCCAGACGCTCCGCACTCGGCGATTCGAACACTATGACGTGGGATACAATCAACCCAGCAAACGCTGCAACTCTTCTAGAGTCATTCTTAACTGCGACGGATCGCATGATTCGATATCCTCCTCATCAAAAGCCAAAGACCCATCTGTGTCTGAATCATGAAGGAGTATCTCCAGGATAGACGCGGCTATAATCTGGTTGAACCTTGTGGAGTCTTTCACCAAGTTCTCGTTCTGTAGTAGTTGGCGCAAGAATCCGTGGACTGGCAGATCGCGTGGCGGGCTGGCAATGAAAGGAAATAGCGCTTTCCATTGTGAGGGATTCGGCGCCTCCCATAGATTGTCGGGGCAAGGGATCCGCAAATTGATTCCATGGCTCGCGACGCTCGGTGGGCTGCCGGAGAGCAAGCAGCACTTGTAGTGCAGCACCTAAGGCCACGGTAAAGGTTAGCAAGTACTGTCCCATGTTGAGCACATCTTGAGATCATCCGAGTTGAGTGACGCCGGCGATAGAACGTACAATAATGGCCCAGGTGACTCTTTTCCGCTGTTCGCATAAGCTCCAATTGAGCCATCGATCTTCCAGAGCCATCGCATCCTGGCTTTCCAAGATTTGCCGCACATCTTCCGCACCCACTGAATGTGTCCGGATGTCTTTGCCAGGCGATCTCTCGCCGACCTCGGGTGTTAAGAGCTCCATATGCTTTGCCCAACTCAACACACGACCTTGAGCGGAGAGTACATCTCCCAAAAATCCGTGGTTGCAAGATCGAACAATATGGTGATACGTCAGACTGAGGGCGGTTATCACATCCCATCTGTCCTCTTGAGGTCGCACTCTGCCATGCGTCGGCGTTGACCTGAAACTCACCCCTGAAGATAGATTGCAAACACCACCAAATGCTGTCACAAAATACTGTTGTGCGCGTGTCGTGGAGACATAGCTCGCGCCGATCGCAGTGATGGTCGTCAAGAGTAATGGGGAGCAGGTTGTAGGAGATAACGTTGCTTGGTGGAGGATCGGTAGTGTCTTCAAAAGGTCAGTATCTCGCGGACAGCGCCTGTAGAGCCCATGCTTAGTTGACGTTCAAGCTTCCTTACCTGATGATATCGACTGAAATAGATACCCCAGTATGTCTCTACTTCGTCGGATGATATAATTGACTCGTCCACGATTGGGGATGCAGTCATCGCCCTCAAGGTTTCGACGACAGATACTTGACTTGACTCCCAGTCAGGCGTCCAAATGTTCTGGTCCCAAACTTGAGCACGGCTGTTGAACTGTTCTTCGACGGCGAGTCTTTCTCTAACTTCAGCGGCTGCTGTCTGCAATCGACTTGTAGGAGGAGAATGAGATGACTGCGACGAGGCGGTCTTGCCGAAGCTGGCCTCTCCAGCGTCTGTCTCAGGCGAACGATCTGACGGAGAACGTCTCGAGCTACGTGGGCTTCTGTTGGTTACAGGCTGGTCGTTTTCCCTCCCAAACCCCGAGATCTGCTCGGAAAAAGACGATGTGTCTTCGGAGAGAAAATCATATTGGCATCGCAGGCCTCTTTCCGCACATCGATCGCAGACGGAGCCTCGACTACAGCTGACACGGAGCCTAATGGAAGAAGGGTTTGGTGAGTTGAAGCCGACTCTGTGCCGAGTTACTCACACTGCACATCTGATACAGCTCCTCCTCCTCGTCTTCTTCGGCTTTTTCAAGTGGGTGTTGGCCTCGTGCTTCATCCTGATGTGCCGTTGGAGGACATCTTTGCGTGAATATAATCTGTGGCATATGTTGCACTTCACTGAAGCAGTGGTCGGGCCTGTCGTTCTGGGCATTCTAGTTCCTCCCGGTGGAAACATGGTGAAGGTGTCGGTGGAAGACATGGTTGGAATCGAGAGCAGTTCGGCTTCCGGAACAATAATAGAAGAAGTGCGGGGGTCGGTGTTTCCAAGAAAGCAACTCGGGCAAGGCACGTCGAGGCACGTTTCCCCAAAGAATTTATCTAATGATAGATTTCTACACCCTAACTCCTCGATATATTCATCTCGACAATGTCACCTCCAGGCTACACGCAGCCCATTCCCCGCGGCGTCCCACCCTCCGCGGGCCTCGAGCAGGAAAATCAGCACCTCAGACAGCTCATCCGCGAACTTGGTGAAACGCTCCAGCAGGCGAACCAGATCCTTGCCCAAGCTGGCCCTTTTCCTTTTCCGTCCCACCAGAGTACTTCTGTACAAGATTCTCGTATACAGCATGGCTCGGTCACGTTGGGCCATCATGGAATAGAGGAGACGGACTGGCGGCGATTTCCTGTTCAGCATGCGGGCACAGAGTGGAGCGCTCTACAGTTCTCATCGGCCTTTCCATCCATTCAACCACCTCTGGGCGATCCCGGGCCGTCTGGTAACGGCCTACCGCAAGAACCTGATGGCATGGAGGACTGGCTCGCCATGATATCCACGCCTAAACCCGATGATCGTCCGGCCGGAAGCTATATGAAAGAGTCCTCGCCGCAGGAGCAAACATATGCGTCGAGGCACCTGTCAGTACCGAAACCGTCCCTGTTCTGTCAAGACATTCTACATTTCGAAGGTATGATCAAATATATCATGCTAACAGAGCCAGAGCCTGATGTCCCTGACCGGTGGGTTGAATGCTCCTCTTGCTTGGGCATATAGACAATCTGACCACCTCACCAGCTTGGATATGCTGATTGAGAAGATGCTTCATACGCTTGTCTCAGAGGACTATTGGCATTGGACCAAGGCCTACTTCACCGAGACCCTAGCTTGGAAGCATATCGGTCCAATAACGAGATTTCGCATTGAACCAACCAAGGAAAATTATGACCGCCTGCCTGTGCGATTTCGACCCTCGCAGATCCAGCTCACCCGATTTCACTGGCCCATAATAGACTGGATCCTCTGGCCACAGCTTCGAGATAAGCTAATTTTGCAGTCGGCAGAGTACGATTTGACCGACTTCATTTCCACCATCATCGCGGGTTACTGCTTGGAAGCCGAGATCACCGAGGAAATGGAAGAAGACAGTCATGGATATGGAACGACCAGGCCGGCTGTCAGGAGTCAAGGCAATTTAACGCACATGTCACAACCCAGAACTCGCAAAAAGTTAGTCTACTATCGATTACAAGAGTATCTGGAATACACCCAACAACTTCCCGTCGAGACCACCTTGACAGAGAAGAGAACGCAAGGAGCTTTGGTATCGGATGTGCTGGAAGCCAAATTCTTGTCCGCGCTGCAGGCTGACCAATACCCTTTCAAGCTCGAACCTACTGTTTTCGAACGGTTTCCTTCGCTTTACGTCGAGGAAGCGGTCACACATGGGGTTTACAGATCCATTTTCAGCCCTCACGTCGAGTCGACACGGTCTCGCGCAAGTGGGTGAACAGTCACCCCTGCCACCACATTGATAAGCGTTTGGTTCAGGATAAAAAGGAATCTGGTGTTCAGGTAAGACGCCAAACTTTCTACCCTTTGACTCGACGATCAGCCTTGTCCGAATTGGGTCAGAGAGGGCCCTCCATGTGCGAGTCATGTCACCTTACAGAACAATCACAAAGACACAAGAGAGAGGGCCATAAAAACAGATTCCACATCTCGTAGATGGTAGTCGGCAGTCCCCCAGGAAACAAACAATGGCTATTCACAGTTTGCTCAATTTCATCCCGTCGAGCGCTTTCCCCTTGGCGACGCTATCCTCCATCATCTCCTCGAGATTGACCCGACCCGCAAACCTGGCCTCGACGATGTAGTCGGAGGCGTAATTGCCATAGGGCAGGACCGGTCTGTAGATGACATCTTCACCGCTGCACTCGGCCGCCTGGCCGGTGATGGAGGGATCCGAGATGAAGCCCTGCACGGCGCGCGTGATGGTGGTGTATGGCGTGAGGAGCTCCTTGGGCACGACCTCGACGATCTTCTGACTGACCAGGGGCGTCGGCACCAGGCCCGGACAGATGCAGTTGACTGAGATGGGTTCGTTCATCTCCTTGAGACGTTTTGCCAGAGACCTCGTCAGGCCGATGACCTAGAAAAAGAACGACAACAATCTCTCAGCCAACATTTTCACATATCTCGTCCATGGATTCAGCATCGTCGGAAGGTTTGGTCAACTTACGCCATGCTTCGCGGCGCCGTACAGCGGCACCGGAGCCGCGGGATACAGACCCGCGAGACTGGACGTCGACACCAACACGCCCGACTTTGAGGGGTTTTTGCGGAAGAAATGCAGAGCCAGGTACGCGGTCCAGACGACGCCGTCGAGGCACACTTCGAGGACCAGCTTGTCGGGCTGTGCTGGGAATCCGCTCGCCGTCTCGTCGGCCGGAGCACAAAAGTCGATCCGGTCACCGAAACCCTGCAACACATATCAGGTTTTCTTTTTTCTTTGACGGATCGGAGTTGACCCCGTTCATTGACTTGGTCCGACATGTACTGACAGCATTTGCATGAACTTGGAAGAAGGTTTCTTTAGCCGATGACTTCTTTCTCGTCCACAATACCAGGCCGGGACACCTGGGGGGGAGGATCAATGCCAACATACCGAAATCCAAACGACCCCATTTCTGCCAGGACTTGACGAAAGCCTGTCCGACACTCTCGTAGCTGATGACGTTGGCACGGACGAAGAGCACTTGGCCGCCGAGCCGCTGTTGGACCGCTTTTCCGGCCTCTTCGTTGAAGTCGACGACGGTCACGTTCCAGCCTTCTCGGACGAGGTGCTCGACGACGGCAAGGCCCATGCCGGATGCTACTTTCTTGTCAGAGAGAGTACGGGGACGGGGGCATCACACGCGGCCGCTGGGGTTCAAAGGGTGTCCACAGTACCTCCTCCAGTAACGAGGCCTACGCGAGAGGCAGAGGTCGCGGAAGCCATGATCCAGCAATAGCTACTCTCTTTCTCTATACCAACAAGTCTCGGGAAGTTGAAAGTATATCTCGACCCTCTAATCAATGATGGCTTTGGTTTTGGTTTCAAAAATAACAAACAAGAAACTACATCGCCATCGTCTACCTACATGGCCTGACCGACAGCTGTCTTTTTCCTTATTCTAACTAACAACAATGACTAACAAATTCTGCTGTCAACGACTCAAGACAAGAAACGAACAACCCGGGTTCCACCCGCCACGCGCCCCGTCTACCGAGGGTGAAATACATACCATATGGGCCACACATTCTTTTGCCGCGATTTCTGGTGGGAAACGAGTCAGAACCCCGCTGGGTTTATGACAAGACGGAGTTTGCGTGTGTGGGTGCGGTGTCAGCGGGTGCGCTCGCTCCTTGGTGGAGGGATGGACCCTCTTACCCCGGAATCAACCATTCCCGGACAAGAAAAGCCGTTGTGGGAGACGGAGAATGGCGAGTCATGTCGGTACAGCACATGTCTTTTCGAGGTTCGCCTTTGATTCTATGTCAAGATTTTTGTTTGTAGTCTTACAACAATGGCAAAGTAAGACTAGAACTTGTCTGGCATCTAATTTCAATGGTGTGGCTTAGGTAGGTCTCATATACCCCGTGTCAACCCTTCCTAGCAAGTAGGGGCTTTACGACACCAGTTCATTCCAACCGAACCAGGTTATTCACAAACTAGCTTAATCCTCATTGCAGCAGTGATTCAGCTCCTCTGCGCCGCAGTCAATCCTTCCTCTTCTGGACAGTCAGGGGCAGAGCGCCCTTGACAATGGTCATGTAGCTTCGGATATCGTCCGCGAACCGCTTGTGGTCGAAATCCGGGGCCATGATCAGGTCGAAGCGCCTCAGGAGCGTCGTGATCAACAGTCGCTGCTCGAGCATGGCCAGCGGTCTCCCCGCGCAGGAAAAGGTTCCACTGCTAAAAGGTATGTATGCTCGCGTGTCGTGGTTCCATGTCGGGTCGCGCTTCTTCTCGTCCCATCGGTCTGGGATGAATTCGGTGGGGTTGGTCCAGTACCTAGGGTCGTGGTGTAAGGAGAGCGTGTTGGACGAGACCTAGAATATTGAGACAGAGATGAGACCCGAAAGTAAACGGGATGGGAATCATGGCTGCTTACTGCCGTGTTCTCTGGAATGAATATCCCATTGACCATGTGACCCCCTTTGTTCGTGTATCGCTGCATTCCATTCGGGCCGGGCGGCATGACTCTAAGAACCTCCTGGATGCACATGTTCAAGAATGGAAGTGTCTCGGGACCTAATATCACAAGATTAGTACATGTGTAGCTGGACACAAGCGGGAGTGCCGGGCGCTCACCCAACGAGGAGCCTTCCAGTGGTTTGACGCCATCCCAGTGCTGATCGATTTCTTCGCGCAGACGACGATATGTCGCTTTGTCCTTGCAGATGTAGTAAAACATAAAGCTATAGCCCGATCAGGAAGGGAAATTCTCGGAGAGCGCAAGGCTAGAACACGGCAGATTTTCAACTCACGTAATAACCACAGCACTCGTGTCACTTCCTGCGATAAACAGTGTTGGAGAGTCGGCCTCCAGGTCCTCTTCAGACGAGATACTGGGAGAATCGTCAGTCTGGACCGCAAAGGGAAGAGCAGACGCATAACCAACATCTCCTTGTCGTTGCCAGCAATGATGTGTGAGAAAATGTCGACCGGGGAAGTGCCAAACTCTCTTCTTTGCTTGTAAAAGTCCGAAGCCAGCCGCCCGAAGCTGAGAGCTTTGTGGATTAGGTCCCGTCTAAACGGGGTCAATGTGAAGTAGGATGATATCCATGGGACCTGAGCAAAGATGGCATTGACCATGACGCCAGTACGAACCCAGTCTGAGAACTCGCGAGGTCCGTCTAAATACTTTTGTCAGTAGTGCTAGGGAAAAACGACATAAGGCTAACAGTAAATCTTACCTTCGTTGAGCAAGCCAACAGTCTTGTTGAAAACCAAGTCTCCCATGGCGTCGAAAGCAAAGTAGTCTGCCCACTTCGCAAAGTCCACGACTTCGCCTACGTCGAGACGTCAGCGTTTAACGTAGACATGTACCCACAGCTGAGCTACACACCGTCATGTTTCTCCAACTCGGTACAGAAAGTATCAATCAGACTCCGAATACGAGGCTCGTATGTCCTGAGAGCCTTTTGAGCGAAACCGTGGTCCCATATTCGGCGCCGGATTCTATGGTTCTCCCAGTCTCTCGTAGACGGCAACGGCACGCCATGTCCGCTGTTATTAAAGGTATTGGCATCGTAGAAGGGGCCTTTTGTGAGTCGAGCTCCCTGTGGACCGTGGAGATACTTGACTGAGCCTGTGTCGCCGAAAGAGAGCTCGTTGGGGCCGAATCGGACAATGTCACCGTACTATAGAGTAGGAGAGATCAATGTCGTGCTCTCTTGAAAACGGACCGACGACCTCGTTATATAGTAACGTACCTTGGCGTGCATGGCAGGAAGCCACTCATGCATGCGGCCAGTGGCCATATAATATGCCGAAGTCCATCTCGTCAGTTTCCCGAGCGTTGGTCCAGGAAATCTCCGTAGAGGGTGAAGAAAGAGTCGGTAGACCGTGATGCTAAGGCTGAGCGCTGCCAAGTAAAGACCTGCAAACAAAGCCGTTGACGACCTCACGGTTAGTGGGCCTTGGGGTATGCGCGTAGTCAGAACGGCATATAAGGCGACGAGGACCACGAGATTCCGGAAGAACGAGGCGACAGTAGGTTCTCTGCGGTTGTACACGGCGTGGGAGACCTGGACGATTTGAGCTGTCAATAACGTACAAGACCAGCCTCGACTCTTGCCCGACTCACCAAAGCTGTGACGATGGCCAGCCCTGCAGGTGCTTCATAGTCGGTGAAAGAGCGCATCTCGACTGGCACGGCTTCAGCGTTGAGGTTGTGACAAAATGCGGTGTTCTTGTTCAGGTCTGAATAGCATGGGCGGCCGTGGAACCGTAGGTAGAAGTCGGCAGTATATCACTACCTCGTACACTCACCTCCCCCTCTCCCTTGAAGAGGGAAATGCCGTGGACGTTTCTGAACACGGCCAAGTCGAATCTTCTCTTTGCCATTGTAGAAAGCCGTATTTCGTGGCGGGGTGCCGAACCAGGGTGCTGGTGTAGGCGGCATCAATGTACCCTCCGCAAAAAAGCTCCGATCTACCACAATTGCCCAAACTGGATGAGCGGAGAAGTGGAACTGTACGAGGTACCTCGTATGGTTTCCCGAGGTCAAGCTGCGGTTACAGACCAAGGCGGCTATGACAAGATATTCATGACTGGCCAATCGAAACTGGCAACACGCACCAAACACATGGAAATGTTAGTACTTGGATCAGTAACAAGGAAATACACGGTTATCAAGTCTTTGATGGACCAGGTGGCTTCGTATACCTGTATGTAGGTAGGTATGTACATATATATATACCGAGCCTTACCTGTGACTGTCACGCATTTTAAGTCATGGGGACCCTCTCGAAGGAAGAAGATTGTCCTCGGTGCTCTCTTGGAAATATGCGGCGTTGGCTCGTCTCTGGTTGTATTTTCAGTGTCCTCTCCTCACACCAGCGGCGACCTGGCTGTTCATCTGGGATTTTGTCGATTGCAGCAAGAACGCCAGGGCCAGACTGAGCGCCGTGAATGGGATCAACGAGTACCAGATGAAGCGGAAGCTGTCCGCATATGCCTGCGCACTCGCCGCTTCAAAGACACCCAACAGCGCCGGCGTCACCCCTGGCAATTTCAAGAGCTGCGACGTGGCCCCACTGGCGGCGAGTTCGATGAATTCCTCCAGTTCTGAACCCGGCAAGCCGGCTTCCAGAAGTGCTTTGGAAACTTGCGCGGGCCATTTGATCGAAACCTCGTGGTGGAAGATCTGGCTGAAAATGACGATCCCGATGCTGCCCCCCAACGCACGGATCGACGCTACCAGGCTCATGGCGGTCGCAATGAGCATGTTGGGTGTGCACACGCCGACGACCACATACAAGCAAGTCATCTGAGCGCCGATGGCGGTACCCATGAGCAGGGTCGGGAAGAACCACGCCGCAACGTTGATGTGTGGCTCCATCACAGCCATGAGGCCGACGCCGATAAGGAGGAACACAAAGGACGTAATCACAATCCCCTTGGCCTCCTTGAAGATGCTCATGAGAACCCCACCGATGACGCCTCCGAGGACGGAGCCAAAATTGAAGGGGATACTGTAGACGCCGGTCAGAACAGCGTCCTGGGTGAAAAGAATAGCAATCTCTTGTGGGAGGTAGGCTTGGCCACCAAACAGAACAATCCCCCCAACAACATTCAGTATGACTGCGATCATAAAGTTTCGATGTTCGAAAAGTCGATGATGGAATAGTCCGACGTTGGTTCCCTTCCACTCCCAGATCCCAAAGGCAATAAGAACGATCCCACCGATGATCAAGGTGCAGAGGACAATGGCGGAGACCCAGCTGTAAGGGTTTCCACCAAACTCTAGACCGACCAGGAAGAGAACCAAGCCTGATGCGACCATGACGACCCCGGTCCAATCGAGGTGAAGGACCTTGGAGAGCATACTGGTGTCTTCCTCAACCGGCCGTGGGGCTGGGTGGTAGAAGAAAAAGACGAGCACGAAAGTCAGGGCGTAAAACCCAGCGGTGACGTAGAATCCGGCTCGCCAGCCCTCCTGAACACCACCGACATCATTCTTGATGAATAGACCTTGTATAATAGGTCCAATGAGGATTGCTAGGCCTGCGACGCCACCAGCCACGGCCTGTAGGATCGGTCGTTTGTCCTTGGGAACTATCTCGGCGACCATGGGGATGGCCAGGTAGCCCAGAGTCAGACCACAACCGTTCAGCACCTGGCCTCCGATAATCATCTCGACGCCGTCTCCTCGACTTGAGACGATGGTGCCCACCAGACCAAGCACCATGCCCCCCAGCAAAAAGATCTTGCGGCCGAGGATATCAGACAGTTCTCCGGCGAAGGCCTGGATCACACAATTGGGTATAGTAGCTGCTGCAGCGATCCATGCAGCCCTTGAGGCGCCCTCGGGGTAAGCCTGCAAGATGAAGGGGATTGACGAGGATGGAACAAGCAGGCCCCATGTGGACGCAAAATAGCAGAAGAGCAAGGCCGTCAGATTGAGGTAGAGGGTGATGTCCCACTTGAAATTCTGCGAGCTCTCTGCAGCCAGCCTCGCCTCCTCTTTGGTTGCCTTGATGCCAGTGTCGAGAGCCTCGAAGACGATAGGCTCCTCCAGGTCTTTATGCTCAATCTCTTGCTCCGAAGGGTTGTGAGCCTTTTCTTCGGCCATTTCGATCCCGAACAGGTGTTTTGGTGGCACGATGAAGTCTTGCGCTGCCAAACGAGTCTCGTAAGAAACAACTCGGGAGAATTGATGTTCCACAGTACGGCGACTGGGAAGAGCTTTGGACCTTCTTATCGAAGTGGCCTGGAATGTTCACCCATGCTGCGCACCCCATGGGGTCAACAAGGTTCCCAGGCTGAATCGTGCATAATGCGCTAGTCCTATCCTTGTGCCGTCTCCACGGCTCCTATGTAGAGCTATGGGAGTCAGCGGGGAATCGACTCCAGTGGACGTTGAATCAGTGCTAATTCGAGCTAGTAGACCAATACGCATTGTCAGCGGCCAGAGGAACATGGCGATTCAGCTGACTCGGTATTCATGCCGTATTCTAACAGTGCTGGAGATGCACCCATCGCCTACCTTTTTAGAGCTGAATCACTGCTTGCATGAGCCAAGGCACATCTCTCGTAGTCTCGCCATCTCTTTTTGACGATGGATTAGCGTGCTCAGGCTGGTTGCTCTATGGTGGCTGAGGAAATCAAGGGTCGCAGCTATGCTGGAAGGTTAAGCTTGACCTCTGTTGTCGACGTCTAAGTAGAAAGACTGGAATCGCCGCATATATCGTCTACCAGTACACTTGGCATGGTCGTAGTCTCCCAGATTGTGGCACAAGAGGTCGAGGATCGAAAGGTACGCGTAAATCTGCAAGTGTTTACGACAACTCTTACAGCTGCGTGTACACAGTGGACCGATGGTGAGGGAGGACGGAGGAGGGGTGAATTTGATGCCTTTAGAGTTATACGCCCTCTGATGGTAGAGCTCGGATTTGTCCAAGTGCGAATAGATGGTCGAAGGGGTCGAAGGGGTCGAAGGTCATACGTCCAGTAGAACCTCGTTCAGTAGCAAAGAACCTCGCAGACTCGGGTTGGTTGGGGGAACAAATCGCGGGGTTGATTTGGAATCGACCTCGAACTCTTCGGCATCTTGTCCGAAGCATTTTAGGGCCTTCACTCAAATCCCATTTCAAAGTAGCGAGGACCAGATCATAGCATCATCACCACCACCAGTAGCAGCAGTGTCCATTGACGCAAGCAGAGAAAAGAGTCATGAGCATCGTAGTAGCCTTCGATCTCTACGGCACTCTCTTGTCGACAGAGAGCATCGCCAAAGAATTAGCCTCACACTTTGGCCAGGAAAAGGCCGCCTCCATCGCTGCAGTATGGCGAAAGTACCAGCTGGAATATACATGGAGGCTGAACAGCATGAGTAGGTCTTGGGGCTATGTGGCACACGGACTGTTGGCGCTGATCTCCTCAAGAACAATATCAGGATTTTTCAGACGTAACCGAGAAATCTCTCGGACATGCACTGGCCGAGCATGGTTTGAGTCTCAATCGTGCTCAGAGTGGCAAGCTCATGCAAGCATACGACTCTCTATCCACCTTTCCAGATGTCAACCCAGCACTGAAGCGCCTGGAGAATAACCCAAACATCAAATGCGTCGTGTTCTCCAATGGGACCAAGGCCATGGTCTCCAACTCTGTCAACAAGTCTAGTGATCTCAACTCTTCAGTGTTCAAAGACCTCATCACTGTGGATGCTGTCAGAGTATTCAAGCCCGCACCCGAGGTGTATAACTACTTGGCAAAGCAAGTCAGCAAGGTGGGCGAAGAAGATAAATTGTGGCTGGTCTCGGGAAATCCATTTGATGTTGTGGGTGCTCGCTCTGTGGGCATGCAAGCTGCATGGGTGGATCGATCAGGGAAAGGATGGCAGGACAGCTTAGGACTTGGCCCGACCGTAGTGGTAAGAAGTTTGGAGGAGGTAGCCGACGCCGTTGAGCGGCATGCAGCAGGCTCCCAGTAGGGAGAGTGCTGCGTGACAACCGTGGGTCATGCTACATTATCTTGATAGGGCTCGGGGTTGGCTGTGATGGCGGCTTCTCTAGATCGACGTGCCTTTTCCATTTTGGCTGCCCATAACGCACTCCCGGCTGCAGAAGTAAGCAGGAAGAACATGCTGAGCACGGGGACAAGCTGCAACACCAGCGTCACCACGCCGAACCACGTGTATTTGAGCTGACGGTTCCTGATGTATTCTTGTCTTTCTTTCTTGGAAAACCCCCGTAGCTTAAAGTACCTCCAGTGGTGGAATGGGCCGGCTCGATATCCAGTTAAGAGGAGGAAGATTGGAACGCCAACAAATGGAACCAGGTTGACAGGGAGAAGAATGATGAACTCGGCGATTTGGCGGAAACTGAACGGAGCATAAATCGCGGACGATGTTGGCTTCCCAAGCATTTGCACAGAGTTCTGCGCAATAGGATGAAGTGTACGACCATCATTGACAAGATCCGCCAGCCCTTGGTCAATAAGGACGGCATCAAAGGTATCCACCAAAGTCTCGTCAACGAAGAAAGCCTCGAAGAGAAGAGCAACAATCGCGGCACCTTCACCGAGCACGAGAAAGGTTGCATTCACCCATGCTGCTGCTCCGTGAAAGATGGCGAGGAACGCGACTTGTGGGAGAAATGTCCAGAGGAAAAGGTTGGCGTAGATGAATGCAGACAAAAGCACGATGGGAATCAGTCGCGCCTTGAATAGAGGGTAGAGGTAGGGGTGGAGGAGGAAATAGAAGATGCCCTGGTACAGTAGATAAGTTAGACATGGTAATATCCCTGGCTGATAGACTTACCTTCAAAGGATAGAGCCAGACGGCATCCCACAGTGAGAAACACATCCTTGACCGCCCATCTGCCGCCATTGTCACTGCCAAAGGTAGTCCATAGAACTGGTTGAGAAACGCAAGGGGAAAATGTGCAGAGTCACAGGCAGCGAGCGGAACGAAATGCGCGGTGGTGATGATGTCACCCAGCCAATAGAAGATTGTAAATTGTCAGCCTCGTGGCCAAGCCTTAGCCTTGTCTCCCGCATGCACTTGTATTTTTCGTGGAGCTTTGGTTTTCAATTTTTCCTTCCTTTCCCTCAAAACTGAAGTTTCCTCTGTATTCACTCTGTCAACGATAATGACCGTGGTTGCTGGAGGGGAAATCAGAGGACAGAGGGATGAATCGTTTTCGACAGCTGCCAACTTACCCCGGAACCTTCTGTTGCTGATCCAGCTTCGAGATTGTGGAGGTTTTGGAAAAATTTCATGGCTGCACATTATACATATTTCAGGCTCAGCTTGAATGAGAAGTGGTGGATGTCGATGGTGATGCCTAGCTCGATGCATTCTCAGATTTCTTGAGGATGACTGAGAGGTCGACTGCTGTGAGGCGGGTAATATTGAATGTTATATCCAGAGTCATCATTGCATGGCCTTCATGCAGCCTTCAGGACTATGTAGGTAATCCTGTGTACATAGATTTCAAGGGGGAATTACCGCCCGGGGGACCATAGCCCACTGGGAGTGGCTCGCCATGCCCAACCCACCACCTGGAGCTTCCTGCATGTGCTCATACAGGGGCATTCCTAGGCTCAGAGCCCCTGTACAAGTAAACAGTCTAGGCACCTTGACCCCGCCTGCCCGCCCGCGTTGGCATCCCGCCGCCCCAGATTCCAAGTCAATCTGGGCCCAACCATAGCTCTATTGGACGTGGTATCACGTGACTAGTTGTCTCGTAGCTTACTCTTTTCCACTGTTTTGGATTCCTTACTTCCCAAAAATTGTTCCGCCATGCGTTCTCGTTTTCTTTTCTCTTGGATGGCGTTGAAAGTTTCATTTCTCTCCAGACGACCCTAACCTACATTTTGGAGATGGCATCTCGCCTTCGCCCCGGAATCACCCGGAAAAGGAATCTACTTCAAAAATCCATTTCCTTTGAATCGGCTTGCGAAGCTGAGACCAACATTCTCTTACAGTTGACCTATCCGTCCAAGCGATTTAACTTTTTCCTCCAACTATTTCAGAAGCAAGACGAGATAAAAGAAATTGTCGCTTGTCACCTTGGACTAAAGTCTGATCAATCCTGCCGATTAGGTGACTTTTCAGAATGGAGGCATGGGACGTTCAACGTCTGCATTCCAGTGTATATAGATAACTGGAATAGACGTCCAAAGAATCGGGTCATGATTCGATTCCCACTCCCATACAAGCTGGGAGAATCATCAAATCCTGGGAACATGGATGAGAAGGTGCGATCTGAAGCAGCAACATATATCTGGATGTAACAAAATTGCCCTGAAATACCAAGCCCGTACCTATGGGGTTTCGGAATTGGTAACATCCTACATGTGCGCGCAGTCTTCCAGAAACTCTCCGTAGTATGCTAACGATGGAGGTTCAGTTCACAGCGCGTGAAAACGCGCCATGGTATTTGCGATGCCTCTCGGTCATACAGAACACCTTACGACGGCTATTTCGACGATCGGTCTGCTCTCCCTACATTCGTTGTAAACGACCCGACTTTCCATTCACTATTGGCTATTTACTGATGGATTTCATCGAAGAGGAGGAAGGCCGTATGCTTTCAACCACGTGGGATCTACTTTACGGTGATTCGAAGCGAACGACGAATTTCTTTCGAGGTTTATCCCAGATCTTGTTGTCTTTGACCAGAAGGCCATTGCCTCACATAGGCTCGTTGACGATAGACAACGATGGCGTTGTTAGTCTTACTAATCGACCACTATCTATCATCGTTCCCGAAGCAGAAAACGACAGTTGCCCGCCTATTGTGAACCGCAGCTATATTTACAGTACGGTCGAGCCATATGTTCTGGACCTCTTCAAATATCACGACAACCGGATTCGATATCAGCCCAATTCTGTCATCTCAAGGGATGATGCCGTTGACCAAATGGAAGCCTTGACTTTGATGCGCGCCTGCTTACCTGATTTTATCAATCACCATTCACGTTCTGGACCGTTTTATTTAACTCTCACGGACCTCCATCAAAGCAATATCTTCGTCGATGACGATTGGCATATCAAATCAATTATCGATCTGGAATGGGCCTGTTCCCGACCGATTGAGATGCTCAGGCCCCCTTTATGGTTGACCGGTCAGGCAATTGACTGTTTGGCTGGTAAAAAGTTGGCAGATCTCAAGCTCGCGGTCGACCAGTTTTTCTCCATACTAGAAGAGGAGGAGAAGAAATCATTGCGTCCTTGCTCAATATCAGTGGCCAACACTTTTCGCGAGAATTGGGCGACTGGTCGCATCTGGTATTTCCGAGCCTTGGATTCTTTGACGGGACTGTATAGCGTCTTCTTGAATCATATTGAGCCGATGTTTGCATCCGATATTACAAAAACTGCAGCTCGTTACTGGCATCTGGATGCTGAGAATATTATCCGAACAAGGGTTGAGGATAAGCTCGAGTACGATGAACGATTACGGCAAGCTTTTGAAGAAAATACAAGGTCGGACGACCGAGACTATCATTCTATGTCCTATTTGTGATCCTGCTTAGCCTTCTCCTTTTCAGCCTTTTCCCTCGCTTCCTTTTATCTCTTATTCTGGGCTCTTTTCGCTTTGGCCGCGTCGCCGGAAGAAGACTGCTGTTGTATGGTTTTCTGGTCCGATAAAGCTCTGGCTAAGTCTTGCTTGATTTTCCGTTCTTCTTCCATGTTGTGTTGCAGACCACTAACGACAGTTTGTGAGCTGGACAATTTTCATTCGGATCGTGCATCCCTAACCAATTCTCCACGGATGGTTCAATCGGCAGTAAAGCTTGTGCCGAGTGCAAATTGGAATTGTAGCTGTTGAGAGTGGTCAAAGTTGGTCATCAGTTTCTCGGAATGATAACTTCATAGGAGAGAGAATTCAGGAGTATTCCCTTTCTCATTGACAACTTATACTTTCTTGCCTACGAAGCGAGGTCTTATGCGCATCCAGAACATAACAGCGCATCCCACACCTGACATGAATCTTCATTCGGGAAGACAAGCCCTTCACCGCCGCCGCGATTCCCCAACATTTAGGCTCTCTCCCCCGCAATCAGTTACAGGCGACTACGAGTGAAGGAACTCTGGCCGAGGGCAGAAGGCGCCAGTGGCGGCGGAAGTGACAGGGTTTGCCGTGATCTGGGCCAGTGGTGATTATTATTGACCCTCGGTTCTCTGGATCAACCAAATTCTCCACCTCTAGCCTACGCATGTCGCGCTCCCACCACCAGCCATCTCAGTATGTAGTAGTAGCCCACCTGCTCCTACTTCCGACCTCGCCGACATCTCAAAAACCCCCCAGGGAACCTTGTGCCAAAGACTCCATACTATGTGCCGACATTCACCCGTGGATTCTGCTTTACTCAACACCGAGACTGGAAGATAGGAATTTATTCTCAATGGCTTCCATCTCTCCGCAAGGCCCTTACTCGTCATCTCAGTCGCAGGACGCGAGCAACGCCTATAAATACGAAGATCCCACCGCATACCAGATCCCCTCGGGGTACCCTACAAATCAATTCGAAGTCCCTCTCCCTGTAGCGCGATCCGAACCAGAACCGCAACCCAGAGAAACCTCGAAACCACAGTCGTCAGGTTCTTCAGAACCCAAAGTCCGTCTCAGGAAGGCCTGTGATAGTTGCAGTGTGCGCAAGGTCAAGGTATGTCTGCGCCAATACCCTCTTTCCTCCCAGTCTTTGTAGGTCACGCGCTGATGAATACCCTAAGTGCGACGAAACTGGTCCTCCTTGCAAATCATGCGCCGCCCTCGACATTCCCTGCACCTTCGACCGGCCAAGTCGACGGCGTGGCCCGCCCAACAGACACGCCGAAGCCATCAAGAGACAGAAACTCGAGGGTGCTAACTTTGACGGTTCAAGAAGCTCTCCAACTCATGATGCCGCCTACAGCCTGGCTGCCCTCGCCGCGCCGACTCCGCTGTCCGCCGAGTCAATATGTGACCTACCGGCCTTGAAGATCCTTTTGGACGATTATTTTACTTATATCCATCCACTGATACCTCTCCCACACGAACCCACATTCCGACGATCATTTGAAGCCAGGGAGGACAGAACAAATCACAACTTCCTGGCACTCATTGCTGCCATGGTTGAATGCCTTGTGGCTAGCTTTCCAAGACGACCCCGACAACTCTTTGTCACAGAGCCAGGAAAGTCGCAGTTCCCCAACGCAGGAAGTCTGATCGATCGGTGTCATCAAGTCTTCGTCGAAGCTCGCGGCCTCGGGTATATGGATCGCCCGATGAACCTGTACGACGCGATTGCGAGCTATCTAACAGGGTTGGCCGCTGGTTATGTCCTAGATATCGCACGCATGCGACTCTATCTCGGCGAATGCACCATAATCATGCGGGAGTTGCAGTTCCATCGGCCAGAAATTCATAGGCCAGGTGCGACACCAGCCGCAGCGTATGGCCCTGCCGACATGCCTCGGGCCCCACTTGTCGACTACATCTATCAGGAGTCCGGTCGGCGGCTGTTCTGGCTGTTGTTTGTGGGCGCAATGTCTGCTCGACAACTAGACGAGGCCGAGGGTGACTTGCTCATGCCTCCTGTGTCCCATGCGGAGATGCTTCCACCACTCCCGGTTGAGGTAGATGACGAGTACATTACTGAAACGCAGATATTTCCACAACCCCGAGGGGTCGTGTCTGAAATGGTCGGCTTCAACCTCAACGTCAAAGTTTTCCGAGCCTTTCACTTTCTGGCTGCCCTGGAAATGGCCTTTGGAGCAAACAACGTCTATGACTGGGATCGTCAACGGCAAATCATTCGCCGCGCTCTTCAGCATGTTAAGGATGCTACACGAGATGCACCGAAGGAATTGCAGCTCAACCCGGCTAATGGATTCGGTGAGTGGCCTCCTACCCAAGCCGATATATCAGCATATTCCCACCTTTTCAATGATCGCGAAGAAGGCGAGGCCGATCTGCACGCGACGCCAGTGAGTGCCCGTGCGTCTTTTTCCATGCCATCCAAGAGAGCAATTCAGTTTGAGATCCAGAAAGCCAATGTATACGCCACGCAGCTATCGTCGAGATCATATCTAGTGGAGAGGTTTTGGAACCTCTACGAGATAGTGGACCGCGATAAATCGACTTTTCCGTCAGATAAGTCAGTCGCAAGCTCGTCCCCCACAGCAGGGATCGTGACGACCGGCATGGAACACAGCTATCGACAGATTGTAGGTCGCACACCTAGTGACAGCATGATGGATACAGGAGAACAGATGATGGCTGTCGAACGAGAAGACATTGTAAGGGACATGGCTCTACTTCTTAAGAGCATCAACCAGGTGAACATGGAGCCCAACGGAATGAGCTTTGTAAGTCATCGGTTTCCTTCCCTGCAGGAATTCTACTGACTGGAAATAGTGCAACAAGATCCGGACCGTCGCATCGACCCTACTCGAGACCAAACGCGCCAGAATGAGCGTCATGCCCACACTCGACTCTGAGAGCGTGAATGCTTATCTTCACGTATTTCTAGACATCCTCTCCAAATTGGAACGCTTAGGTCCTAGCCGATTCAGGGGTGTCGCGGATGCAAACGCTGGCATATTACGGACACCCGAGGAGATTGAAGACGAGGAGCTGGTTCACTGGGCCAGTCTGAAGGAACACCAGGAGAGGTTTGTCCGGACAAGTGGCTTCTGGTGACCATGTTTCACCGACTTTTGTCCATCCTGTAATGATTGATGACATCCAATGAGAGCTGTCTTGACGATGTAACTGGGACTAATGCGGCTGGAGAACAGCGTCCCAGCTATTCACGTCGATGGACGAAAAGTGAGCTTCAACCAAGGCTTAAATACCTTTTGGTGCAGGCGGGATATGGCATGGTCTGTGAGTGATGCAGACAACGGACTGTTGTCGCACTGCATGGATATTCTTAGTGTCACAAATTGGCTTCAGGCGATCCCCAGCATAAAGGGATATCTTCTCAAGAGCTACAAGCAGAAATAATTAGTACACAGTCTAACAAGATATTGCGCATGGACCCTTGACCCCTTCCTTCACCTTATACGAGATACAAAGTGCATTAGTACAGAGTGTCACGTGGATGAGCTGGTAGTTGTCCACGTGCGTTCGCGTCGTAGGACTCGCCAAACTTTCCGCATACTGGCTGGGTGGAGAGCTTGCTTGAACGTCATCTTGGGTTTCCTTCTTGTGCCCCTCGTGAAGAATGCCGTAGGGCTCAATTGCAATACTTCAATCCCAATGACAGACAATGATCATGGCAACTTTGATGCTTTCAGAGACTGTCTGTTCTCACATGTGGTGGACAAGCTCACTGATGGAACCGGGAAAGCGTCCACACGTCCCTCCATAGGCAAAAAAGCCCGACAGAACCAGCCTGAACCACCCAAGCCTGATCCCTCTGAGCTGGCTGACTTCTCAGATTATCTGGCCACTGATATCTTCGAGAGTTTGCCGGAGCCATTCCGGAAACTCTCCTATCATGGGCTTCAGAATGACGATGTGCACGCAGACAAATGGTCCCTTCCGTTGACCTTGACCATCCTTGAAGAGCTCTGTGCTCATCTTCCAGGAGACATCAGCGACAGTCTCGTGGCGTACGGGCTGATCAGACCACCCACGACCGACATCCAGTCGTTCATGGCTCCGGTGTTTTCTGGTTACATTTCTGTGGTGACAACGCCGCCGCCAAAATGGTCAGAAACAAGGACAAGGTTTTGCGAGATTTGCGAAAGAGACTGGGTTCCATTGACCTACCATCATCTGATACCAAAGCAAATCCATGCCAAAGTACTCAAGCGAAATTGGCATGAAGAACGACTGTTGAACAGCGTGGCATGGCTGTGTCGAGCCTGCCACAACTTCGTCCATCAGATGGCCTCCAACGAAGAGCTTGCCCGAGAATGGTATACTGTTGAACTCATATGTCAGAGAGACGATGTCCAGAAGTGGGCCCAATGGGTCCGACGTGTCCGCTGGAAGAAGACTTGAGAATTGTGCCTGAACGCTTGCTTGGAGTATGAGTCGCTTAGCAACAAGATTGTCGACCAGTAGTCGAGCTGCTTGATAAGATGTGTCCTGTCGTCACTCCTGAATCTGTTGCTATCTTTTGACGCATTCAACCCACCAGCTTCCCAGGTCCCCGATGCAATGGTTGAAGAGTATAGGAGGTGCAAATATGCACGGCTGTCTCGCGTATAGGACCTGTACTTGGTCTTGGGATATCCCACTGCCGGGATGACTGCTCAATGCGTTCGACGCCGCGCCGCGCATGTGTCGATCCGATCAGCTAGAAGCGTCTCACCTCATCGCCGTCGAGGATTGAACGCTTCCCAGTATGTGACTGCCGCAGTGGTCCAGCGCTCCCCCTTTCTTTCGCCGAGCACAAAAACCTTTGATCAGTCCCTGCGCACTTGGAAAACTTGATCATCCACACTCACACCTTCCAGGACCAAGCTCACCGCATCAGCTTCTTGTTGATCAACTCTTTTCTTTATCCAAGCTTCGACTCTATTGTTCACATCGTGGGACGACATCTGCTCAGACTTGTGCAACGTCTTGTTCTCATACAAAGTCAGTCGACGACAGAGTCAGTGTTGGCGTGCACACTTTGCAGGGTCTTACCTTGCTATTCCTTACCCAGCATTGCAACCCTCTGCAACATCCCAGCAACAGCAAAGTGACCCTTCTCCTTTCCACGTGGCCTCGCTTCTGGAAGTTGAGGTAGACCTACACGACACAGCTCAGCAAAAGACCAAGTCGACACACTGAACAGTGAGACAAATCACGGGTTTCTTGAAATTCAACTCGGTCATAAACTTCACAAACTTCACATTCACCCACTTCACACACTTCACCGTCGCTAGAATGGCGCAGAATAACAACGATGGACACAACCACCGCCAAGCGCAGGATTGTACCGCACCACCACAACATTCACCACAACCCAGTCAAAATGAGATTTTAACTCATCTGCCGGGCTCCATGTTTCTCTCGCCACTCGATATCTTTCTTCTCTCGCAACTCGACGATCCTTCTTACTCTTCAACAAACCACACCAGCAATAATCCGGAGGATCATCCGGATTTTATTGGACCGAGAAATTCGGTATATCCTCCACTTGAACCTTTTGAGCCGTACCCTCCTCAACATCATCAGCCCGATTCTTTTGACCCGGGCAATTTCCCCGATCCTCAACTTGGATCGCCTGGAATGGCAGGCACCCTGGAGGAGGATGACCCTGAAGTAGGTGCCCGTCTCAACCCACATCATAGCAATATCACTGACGCAGATCAGGTGCAGGTCGAAACAGACTCGGGCGACACCGAGATGGTAGACGCCACCTCTGCTGGTGACGTTGCCGATGGCAACGGCAACGACACCGAAGAGGTGGTGCCAACCATTCTCGTTGGCAAGGACGGCCCGAACGTCACCATTTGGTCGACGTTCACCGGAGGCCAGGTGACAGGGTTTGGCCGGTACGAGCACGGGCTGCAGAGACCCTGGAGCTGCCTCATGTGCGACAACCTTGTCGCCATGGAGAAAGGCAAGCTCCAGGCCCATCTCCGCGAGCGCCACGGCTTGACCGGCCTAAGGGTCATGAAAGTTGAGAATGAAAATTTCTCAAACTTTCAGGGCCACGACGACCAGGATTGCTTCGTGTGGGGGGAGTACGTGAGAGGCGACCCTCTCCCGTGGAAGTGCCTTTTGTGCACTAACCACAAGGGCATCAAGACCGGGAAAGGGGCGTTCCCACGTCACTTCCAAAAGACCCACGGCATCCGGGTCGTCTTACCGCCTGTCACGCCCGAGGAGTTGAGACGGCACAACGACAAGAGGGCCGCTGCCGCTGCCGCTGCCGCTGCCAGCCCGTAAAGGGGGAAGCACGGTAGTTGGTACGCGCGTGACCCTAGTCGTCAGGGTCGGGGGGGATCCAGGGGAGGAGAGGAGGAAGGGTGGATGGGAGGAGGAAGGGATGGAGGCAGGGAGGCAGGGAGGCAGGGAGGGAGGACAGTGCTATCATGCACGTTGGTTGCAGGAGTTTCGGGGATGGGGC